GTCAGAAAAAATCCCCCAAGAGGGTCCAAGAGGGCAAGATGGCCTCCACGTTCGCCCAAGATGGTCCAAGATGGCTTCCTAGATGGCCCAAGAGGGTCAAAGATGCCTCCTTGTCGGCCCAAGAAGCCTCACAAACGGCCCAAGACGACCCAGAGGGCCTCGAAGAGGTCCTCCAGGAGGGTCCGCAGAGGCCAAAATCATTGATTCTCTTTTTCCCCACATCCTAAGTGGGGTTCTTGTTGTCTCTGCACACCCTCCGCGCAGGATCTCTCCTCCTCCTCCTCCTCCTCCCTCTCCTCTGCTCCTCTTTGCTTCCCCCTCCGCTACCCAACGTGCAACTGTCGTCACTTTTGGGCTCTTGAGGCGAGGAAGTCTCGAGCGGGAGCCTCGTTTGTGAGTGAATTGCGATGAAGTCTCAGGCGGGAGCCCCCTCCCTATGGGGCCCGCGCTTCATGTTTGAATCCGAGCGGGTCATCCGCAACGTGTAACTGTCGTCACTTTTGGGCTCTTGAGGCCTGAATATGGAGGAATATCAGGCGGGAGCCTCGTCTGTGAGTGAATTGTGAGGAAGTCTCAGGCGGGAGCCCCCTCCCTATGGGGCCCGCACTTCATGTTTGAATCCGAGCGGGTCATCCGCAACGTGCAACTGTCGTCACTTTTGGGCTCTTGAGACTTGAATATGGAGGAAGTCTCGAGCGGGAGCCTCGTCCGTGAGTGAATTGCAAGGAAGTCTCAGGCGGGAGCCCCCTCCCTATGGGGCCCAGCACTTCATGTTCGAATCCGAGCGGGCCATCCGCAACGTCTACTGTCGTCACTTTTGGGCTCTTGAGACCTGAATATGGAAGAAGTCTCGAGCGGGAGCCTCGTTTGTGAGTGAATTGCGATGAAGTCTCAGGCGGGAGCCCCCTCCCTATGGGGCCCGCGCTTCATGTTTGAATCCGAGCGGGTCATCCGCAACGTGTAACTGTCGTCACTTTTGGGCTCTTGAGGCCTGAATATGGAGGAAGTCTCGAGCGGGAGCCTCGTCTGTGAGTGGATTGTGAGGAAGTCTCAGGCGGGAGCCCCCTCCCTATGAGGCCCGCACTTCATGTTCGAATCCGAGCGGGTCATCCGCAACGTGCAACTGTCGTCACGTTTGGGCTCTTGAGACCTGAATATGGAGGAAGTCTCGAACTGGAGCCTCGTCTGTGATTGAATTGTGAGGAAGTCTCAGGCGGGAGCCCCCTCCCTATGGGGCCCGCACTTCATGTTTGAATCCGAGCGGGTCATCGGCAACGTGCAACTGTCGTCACTTTTGGGCTCTTGAGACTTGAATATGGAGGAAATCTCGAACGGGAGCCTCGTGTGTGAGTGAATTGTGAGGAAGTCTTAGGCGGGAGCCCCCCCGCCCCCCCTATGGGGCCCGCACTTCATGTTCGAATCCGAGCGGGCCATCCGCAACGTGTAACTGTCGTCACTTTTTGGCTCTTGAGGCCTGAATATGGAGGAAGTCTCGAGCTGGAGCCTCGTCTGTGGGTGAATTGTGAGGAAGTCTCAGGCGGGAGCCCCCTCCCTATGGGGCCCGCATTTCATGGTCGAATCCGAGCGGGTCATCCGCAACGTGCAACTGTCGTCACTTTTGGGCTCTTGAGACCTGAATATGGAGGAAGTCTCGAGCGGGAGCCTACGGCCCAGCCCGAAGGTTTGTCCCGACGGCTTCGCGATCTAGCCGTCGGCAGACGCGCGCGCGCTGGCCGAGGCGGCGACGGCGCCTTAAGGAGAATGGAATTCGCTTGCCCCGACGAGGGGGAAGGGGAGGTGCACATGGAGAAAAGGCAGGGGGATGAGGAGGGAAGGGGCATGGGGGAGGCCGACGACGAGGAGGAGGTGGCGCGAGAGGAAGAGGGGGAGGAGGAGGAGGAGGAGGAGGAGGAGGAGGAGGAGGAGGAGGAGGAGGAGGAGAAAGAGGAGGAGGAAGAGAAATAGAAGGGGGAAGAGAGGGCAGTGCAGGGGGCGAGAGGAGAGGGTGTCCGCCAGGGGGAGGAGGAAAGGGCAAAGGGTAAGCTAAACAGATTCTCATGTGGGGTCCTACCGTCGGAGTAATTTGAAGGATTTAGGCATTTGCTTCTTTTCGGCCTTCCGACGGGCCAAAACGGCCCAAAAGACCCCCAAGATCGCCCCAAGGTGGCCCCAAAGGCCTCCAAGATGGCACCCAGACGGCCCAAGAGGCCCCCAAGACGGCCTCAAGAGGACCCCAAGACGGCCCAAGATGGTCTCCGAGACGGACCTGGAGCGCCACACCAGGGCTCCAAGTCGTTTCAGAGAGGCATCCAAAACTGCTTCCGGCGGCGTCAGAGGGGCCAGGAACGCGCCGAATAAGCTCCAAGGGTGCCCCGAACAAGCCCCTAAAGGCTCCCAAGAGGCCCAATGAAGCCTCCAAGAGGCCTACAAGAGACCCCCAGGAAGCTCCCGGGAGACCCCAAGAGTACCCTAAAGGCTTCCAAGAGGCGTCCTCCGCTTCCTTCTCCATTCCTTTCCCTTCCTGCTCCTTATAAAAAACCTCCCCCTGTCGCACCCCAAGGCCAGAAATTAGGGCGGGCCTGGCGTTACGCCTGAGGCACCACTTATGACCCTGAAGCTCAAGCATTGACAACAGTCTCACATTTGGAGGGCGGGTCGTTTTCAAAAAATGGCTCTCGCCGTAGCGCCGCGCACATTCGTTATAAAACAATTGCACGGCTTTCACGGGTTGAAGGCGGGTCATTTTCAAAATGTGGCTCCCGCGCTAGTGCCGCGCACATTCTTCCAATCAGTTGCAAGAGTTTCGCGAATTGAGGGCGGGCCGTTCTAAAAATGCGGCTCTCGCCATAGCGCCGCGCACATTCGTTCAAACAAGTTGCAAGAGCTTCGCAGAATGAGGGCGGTTCCTTTCCAAAATGTGGCTCTCGCGCTAGCGCCGCGCAAACTCGTTGTTTAAACTTGCAAAGAGTCCCATGGATTCCTATGAGCAGCGTACCAGACATGGCGTTTGGAAGAATTCACGATTATGAGGGTGCAACCGTTACGTTGATTCGGGGTGTTGGTATCCCAGGAATGGCGCTCTGGCGCGACTCAGGATCCTCAATTCGCGACAGACAGGTTGATCCGTGGCGTTGGAATCCCGAGAACTTGTTTTGGCATGCGTCAGGGTCTTCAAACGGTTGTCTTCCAAAGAGGCAGTTCCCTCAGTGGAAATGAACCGTTGTAGGGGCCTCTGAAGAGGGAGCTTCGAGGGAGGGTTTATTTCAACATCGTTGATGCTTCTTGGGTTTACACTGGTCCTCCTCCTCCTCCTCTTCCTCCTCCTCTTCCTCCTCCTCCTACTCCCGTGTCCTTCTTCTCCTGATTCTCCTCTTCCTCACGTGTTCCCCGAAAGGTGTCCACGGCATCTGGGGAAACATATGGCCCGATAGCTTTAGCCCAACTTTCGGCCACTTAGGCGCTTCCAAGAAGGCAGGGGGCGGCGGTGACTCGCCGTAGGCGTCTTCGCTAGCCTCCGGAGGCGAGAGCTTTCTCCACATCCGCTGTGCCTCCGGTTTCTGGGGAAGGCAACCCAACACTCCAAGGTGCAATGACTATGAAGACAACTATTGACCGCATCGGGGGCAGCTCGATCCGTGAGCGGCCAGGGGCCCGAAGACGTGACCCGGAATGCCCGTCGGGCTGTTCTCGCAGCGTCCAAGTTGGAGGGGCGGCCTCTCGCTTCCGTCCTCTCTCCCCCCGCGCCCGCAGGTCCTGCCCTGACCTCTGGCATAGCTATGTGCGCTGCTTGCGAGAGGGATCCTACGGTCGGGCTGCTGAAAGAAGGAACGCTACATGAGAAACTGAGCCCCTCTGTTGCACCAGAATGGCCTGGGTGCACGAGGAGTGCCAAAGGAACAACCACGGACTGACCTAAGGAACAGCGAGCCCCTCCCGAACCCAAAGCCGTCCATATTTCGGCGTCTTGGCTGTAGACACGAGAGCCCTTTGGTGCGCGGCTCCATTAGCTTCCAAAGGACTCAGTTTCCAATTTCATCCGTTTGGTTCGCTGCGCGCCAGAAGAAGCGCGCGTCCGCTGGATCAGATGCGTGCGACTTTCGGGGGCCGCGGGGAGGTCAAACCGAAGCCCGCGCGACAGTTCCAAGGGGGGGCCCGCGGGCCCGCGCCAAGGGTCACTCCGTCGAAGGGCCACTCTCTACGCGTGACAAGTCTCGTGTCTTTCCGGCCCAGGACTCCCGGCCCCTTCCCCAGGGGGACGGTGTCTTGTCTCGGGCCGCCTCCTGGTGATCCTATGGGGCCGGGTGCGCCGAACAAGGGGGGCGCCAGGAGAAGACGGGGCCAGGATGTCTGGGAGACTTCTCGTGGCCCTGAGTCCGAACCCGTCTCTTCGGCGCCCCCAGGAAGGGTCTACAGAGCCTCTGGATACCTTGATAGACGACAGAAAGATCAATGGGATGGAACACCCATTCAATCCCCAGATCCTCCTCCTCCTCCCGCTGGAGAAAGCCTTCGTAGGCCCCTGGCAGTCCTCCGGAGGTCCCCAAGCTCTTGAGATAGGCCCAGGGACCTCTGGAAGCCTCCGCGGGGGCCCTCCAAACAGCCAACAAACGATGATGTTGGCCATCCGCGCCGCGTGCACCACCCTTGCTCCTCTTGCACAAGTCAAGGCGACTCGTCCTGAAAGTAGTAGCAGGCGAAGAAGGGTACGCTATACACTTTTCCGCGATCGGGGGAGCCTGTCCCAGGGCGACTGGGAAGCTTACAGACCCCTGCGGTGGGCAGGTCAGCCGCTCTGGGGCAGGCGCCCCGATCACGGAACACAGATTTGTGAACGCAAGAAGACACGCAACACAAAGGATCGCGGACACATTTATGTTATACCGCCCTTCGCCCGCTCAGTGAAAGCCCGCGAACGGCCCCGCGCGCAGACGAACCGAGACCGCCAGCGCGGGGCCTCGTGGCGAGCCCCTTCTCGAATTCGGCCCCGGTGCCGTTGAAAGTCAGGAAGTGGCGCACGACAATGCCCTGTCGGCGCGGGGCTTAGGAAGAGAGTGAGGTCATGATGCTCTTGGCTCAGGATCCGTTCCAGAAATCCCGGAGTATCCAGCGACCCTCGCTTCTGCAGCCCGTGTGGGCGTCAGGACCTCAGGGCAACCCTTGAAATCCTGGAGCACATCATTACCATGCCTCTCTGCTCCTCTGGGGGCGGTGGCGCGAAGCGCCGCGAGGCTCGGGGCGCCCCCCGTGCTGGCCCTGGCAGCGCCGCCTCCGCCTGCCGCAGGATCGAAGATCGGGGCGCCCCGAGTGCTTTTGTGGAGACCTCCCAGGCGGGGTCCGCGCCAATGGGGTCAGAGGATCGCGCCGCATCGCCGATGCGCCGCCGACGTCGGCGTGGAGCAAATCGGGCTCCACATCGTGCCGCATCGCCGATACATCGGCGATGCGGCGCACGATCCTCCGACCCACTTTACTCGGACCACACTGGGGAGACCTAGAGGGGTCTGCAGTGCTTTCTGTGGCAATTGTTGGACGGTTTCATTGTCATCCCATCGGCTCTTGCGAATCGAAGCTGGATCGACGCCAGTCGACGCCAATCAATGCTAAATCAACGCTTGCTCATCGATTGCTACCATCGCTTATTCCCTCGGAACTTGCCCGCTGACGGAGTCTATGGCTCGTCGCTTGGAACTCGTGCAGCGACGCATGCTGCGCCGCATGGTGGGGTGGATCTCGCACTCGGACGACGCCTGGGAAGACCGCCGCCGCAGGATGAAACTCTGGCTCAACGCAGCTTGGAACAGCTACCCCATGCACGATTGGCGCCACGAGATACGCGACAGGAATCTCAACCTTATCGGGTAACAACCTTCTTGGCCGGCACTCGCACGTCATGCTGCCGAGTGGCTGCGGCCTGTCTGCAGTGACCTGAACCAGGCGAACCCTTTTAGGAGGAGAGGGAGACCCGCCACGAGGTGGGACGACTTCTGAGGCAGGAGCCCGGGGCTCTATTCGTTCTGCTTCCTCCTTCTCCTCCTCTTCCCTTCTCTCCCTTCTTTCTTCCCTTTTTTCCTGCAGCGATGCCTGAACGCACATTTGTTCAGCTTCTATCCGTGCCCCGCATGGCGGCCGAACGCTATTCATTCGGACCCTAACGTAACGTAACGTAAGTGCGCGATAATGTACCCTAGAGACGGCATTTCGAGGACATACAGCAAGGCCCCAATGAATTGCCACCGAACGGAGGGCATCTTCCTTCCCACTCAGGCAAGTTTGCTTGCATGGCATCCTCCCCCCCTCCGCCGCTTGTTCAAGCAGCGCTGGGCCGAAACTGGCAAGGCACGCAAGTGAGTCCTGACTTGCGTGAGCTCCAGAAGTCCTTTCGGGCCTCGCCACGCCACCCCCCCCTCACCCCTCGGGGCTCTTCTGACCCGGGTCAATTCAGACCCAGGTCAGTCAAGCCTTGCAGAATCCTGCAAGATCCTGCAAAATCCTGCGCCCAAGCCCGGGTCAATGCGAGGGGTCCTGCAAGATCCTGCAGGATCCTGCTCCCAAACCCGGGTCAATGCGACCCTGGCCCTGCAGGATCCTGCAAGATGTGGCGCCCTGGCTGACCCCCGCTTGCATTGACCCCCGTCTCAAGACTCCCGACCCTCCATGCAAGGAGGCTTGCCGGAACCTGGGCCCGGGCGGCCCTGGACACGTCGCGCCAGAGCTGCTCCACGCTATTCTCGGCGCGCCCACGGGGGCCGGCGGCGGGTGTCCCCGGGGTGTCAGAAGACGGCCCGGCACGGTGAGCATCGTTTAGAGGGCGTTGTACTTCACACGCGGGTAAGGTTACCCGCGTGGCATCCTTAGAGAGCATCTAACGGAAGCTTGCGGTCGTCCCGATGGCACAATCGCAACACCATCAGGCCACCATCGGAACACCATCGCGACGCCATCGGGACACCGTCGGGACACCATCGGGACACCACCACGACACCATCGGCGCACCATCGGGGCACTAATTGGGACACCAATCGGGACACCGTCGGCGCACCATCGGGAGATAACACAGGGACGCCATCGGGACACCACTGGGACACCAATCCAAGGTTTTGGTAGAGGGCTCCAAGAATTCCGATGAGATCTTCGCGCAGGGCCCAAGAAATTCGGATTAGGTTTTCGCGCGTGGTTTTCGCATGGGGGCCAGTGAGTTAGGATAAGGTTTTCGCAGGGGGGGGCCAAGAAATATGATGAGGTTTTTGCGCAAAGCCCAGGGTATTCGAATGAGGCTCGCAAGGGGGAATAAGCTAGGATAAGGTTTTCGTCGGGGGGGCGAGAGATAGGATAAGGTTTTCGGGCGGATCCCACGGAATTCCGATTTGGATTTCGCGCGGAGCCCATGGATTTCTGATATGGTTTTCGTATGGGGGCCAGTTCGTTAGGATAAGGTTTTCGTGGGGGGGCCGGGAGTTGAGATAAGGTTTCGGGCGGAGACCAAGGAATGCGGATTAGGTTTTCGCGCGGAGCCCATGGGGTTCGGATATGGTTTTCGTAGGGCGGCCAGCGGGTTAGGATAAGGTTTTCGTAGGGGGGCCCGGGAGTCAGGATAAGTTTTCTGGGCGGAGCCCAAGAAATTCGGATTAGGTTTTTGCGCAAAGCCCATGGAATTCGGATATTGTTTTCGTAGGGGGGCCAATGAAACAGGATAAGGATTTCGTATGGGGGGGCCGGGAATTAGGATGAGGCTTTCGCGCGGAGCCCAAGGAATTCGGATTAGGTTTTCGCGCGGAGCCCATGGAGTTCGGATATGGTTTTCGCAGGGGGGCCAGTGGGTTAGGATAAGGATAAGGTTTTCGTGTGGGAGCCGGGAGTTGAGATAAGGTTTTCGGGCGGAGCCCAAGGAATGCGGATTAGGTTCTCGCGCGGAGCCCATGGAGTTCGGATATGGTTTTCGTAGGGCGGCCAGCGGGTTAGGATGAGGTCTTCGTAGGGGGGACCGGGAGTCAGGATAAGGTTTTCGGGCGGAGCCCAAGGAATGCGGAATAGGTTTTCGCGCGGAGCCCATGGAGTTCGGATACGTAGGCTTTCTGGCGGAGCCCTGGGCATTCCAATTAGGTCTTCGCGCGGAGCCCATTGTTTTCAGATATGGTTTTCGTCGGGGTGAGGTCAGTTAGGATAAGGTTTTCGTAGGGGGGGCCCAGGAGTTAGGATAAGGTTTTCGGGCTGAGACCAAGGAATTCGGATTAGGTTTTCGCGCGGAGCCCATGGAGTTCGGATATAGTTTTCGTAGGACGCCAGTGGGTTAGGGTAAGGTTTTCGTAGGGAGAGGATAAGGTTTTCGGGCGGAGCCCAGGGAATTGGGATTAGGATTTCGCGCGAAGCCCATGGAGTTCGGATCTGATTTTCGTAGGGCGGCCAGCGAGTTAGTATAAGGTTTTCGTAGGGGGGCCGTGTGTTGGGATTGGGCATTCGGAAAATGACCAAGGAATTCGGATTCGATTTTCGCGCGGAGCCCATGGAGTTCGGATACGCGTTATCGTATTGGGGCCAATGAGTTAGGATAAGGTTTCGTAGGGGGGGGCCGGGAATTTGGATAAGGCTTTCGCGCGGAGCCCAAGGAATTCGGATTGGGTTTTCGCGAGGAGCGAATGTAGTTCGGATGTTTTTTTGCGTAGGTGGGCAGTGAGTTAGGACAAGGCTTTCGAAGGGGAACCCCGGAGTTGGGATAACTTCGCGCGGAGCCCAAGGAGTTCGGATTAGGTTTTTTTCGCGATGCAAAGTGATGCAAGACAATACGTAGCAACGTCAAGCATTGCAACGCAACGCAAGACACGTCGCAACGCTATTAGGGTTCCGCGCGAAAAATCTACTCCGAATTCCGTGGGCTCCGCTCGAAAACCTTATCCTAACCCCTGGGTCCCCCTCCGAAAACCTTATCCTAAATCACTCGCCCCCTACGAACACCTTATTCAAACTCTACGGGCTCCGCGCGAAACGCGAACAACTTCGCGCCTCGCGCTGACGTCGCCCAGACCGCGAAGCCCGCGATGCAATCCCTCAATGGCCTAGCCCCAAGGATGCGATGCGCGTCTACCTTCGCTCTGGAAACCGTCGTAGGCTGCGACCGCGAAGCGCGAATAACTTCGCGCCTCGCTCTGACGTCGTCCAGACCGCGAAGCGCGAAGCGCGAATAACTTCGCACCCTCGAGGGAGCCCTTGCCATCAGGACACCAACAGCAATCGGGACACCAATCGGGACACCACTGGAACACCATCGGGAGATAACACCAGGACGCCATCGGGACACCGCGGGACACCATCGGGACACCGCGGAAGACCACGGGACACCGCAGGACACCACAAGACACCACAGGACACCACGGCGGGACACCCCCGGCACGCGCGTGCCATGCGGACGGGAGAGATGCGGACTTCTGTCCCGGCGGCGCCCTAGCAATGGAGGTTTCACTCCTCTCGCCCGCCCAAGCAGCTTCGCCTCGCCCGCACGGACGACACGAACAAGAAACCGAAGCCGATTTCCCACTGGGGGGCTCTCCGCTCCATGTCCATCTCACCACCCCACTTCCGATGTAGTGGAAGCTGTATGGCGTAAGCTGGAGGCGACAAGCTGTGCGGTCTGAGCTACGTCGTGTAAGCCATGTGGTGTGACGTGTCCGCGGTGATAGCCGTGCTGAGCGAGCTGCCTCGCAGGATGTCTGGTGCAAGCCATGTGGCGTAAAGTCAGCGCACGGGGCTTCCGCGGGCGCCCACGAGGCGGCAACGTGGCGCAACCTCGGCAAACGCCCCCAGTGCACGGGGGGGGGCCACGAGCGCCCGCGGGGCGGCACGGCGGCAAAGTGCGGGGCCCTCGCCACCACACCCCAAGCGCACGGGGCGCCCACGAGCGCCCACTGTGCGGCAACGTGGCACAACCTCGGCAACCCCCCCCCGACGTACGGCGCCCCACAAGAGGGTACAGGCGGCTACATGGCGAAAGCCCGGAATACCCGGCCAATTACCTGAGAAAGCGAGGCAAGAACCCGTAAGTGCAAACACTGTGTTGGGAACGTGTCTATCGATGTCTGTATCTATATACATATTCTCATACGCACCTCTCCGAGGGAGTAGAGCTCAGAGGCGATTAATGCGCACGTCGTCCGCGATTTGTCTGGCCGTTTCGCTCGGGACATCCTCGAAATTCTGAAAATCGGTGGCACCCCTCACGCAGATCGTGACGTCAGGGTCCAAAAACACATGGGAATTTCAACATTTTAACATAAAACCTTCAAACACACATGGTAATTTCAATAATGTTGACCCCGATTCTCAGAGAATGGCTGTTTCGCATGAAAAATAATACCAAAATCGAGCCCCAGACCCCTCCTCGGAGCCTCCTGGGGGCCTCCTGGAACCTCCTGGGGCCTCCTGGGGCTTTCTGGACCTTCTGGTACCCCAGACCCCGCCTCGGAGCCTCCTGGAGTTCTCCTGGGCCTGCTGAGGCCGCCTGGGGCCTCCTGGGGCCTCCTGGGGCTTCAGAACTACATGCACACACAGAGACACAAATCACGCCCAACACATCACACGCTAGACAAACATAACATACACACACAACACCGACAACACACAAAAAGCACGCACCACACAAAGCACACATCACACACACAACACTCACAATCCTGGGGCCTCCTGGAGCCTCTTCTGGTATCCAAGTCGGGCCTCCTGAGGCTTCCTGGGGGGCCCTGGTACACACATCGCAAGGTGTGGCAACCCCACTTGCGCTCGAGTGCGACTTCGCTGTTGCATGTCACTCCTGCTTCAAACGCCCCTTCAGCTTGTTGTATGAGCCTGGGCACACACGTGCCACTTGTATATATATATATATGAGACATGCAGATGCTCCATGCAGTGAAGTTTGTCGGGGATGCCCAAAGCGGAATTTGTGTAGGCCACCCATGCACTAGTAACACGTATAAGTATACCGAAGCTGAGAGCGGAAGATGACCATCACCATCCCGCCGTCGCTATTCATCACATGCTCATCAGTACCACCAGCACGCGTTTTCCTCAAACTTGCGACACCTGTGCGAACACAACGGTCGTGAACTGACAAAAGCCCTCCGTTGCAATCTAAACGCGTAGCACAAGTCTACAACGTCCACCAGTCATTTACTGACAGCATGTCCCCGACCCCCAATGCAAGGGTGTGGTAGCCCTACACGCTCGAAGCGAGGATGTGACTTCGCGTCGGTTCTGTGTGAATCGATACACACACCCGTTCTTTGTCGAGCTTCGCCAACCGGCAAAAACTAACTACTATGAGCTAAACTATGCACATACTTGCTCAATGCGAAACTTCTGAGGCATATCAGTGGCATCGCTCAGGCGACATTGCCAGCCATGTTGCCAGGGCTGCCGACGGTGCTTGCCGGAATGTCTCCAGTCGAGCTGTCGGCCTTCGACAGCAGCTGTTCGAACTCGTTCTGGCTGTACATTGGGTCTGTGTTCCCGAGGATGGCGAAGAACCCCACCACCTGCACGTGCATTGCCCAGAAGGCGATGAATCCCAGCGCGTGATATGCGGCGATGTTGCTGCTCTCGGTCTCGCTGTCTGACGCATACAGGGCGGCGTAAACAACCATGAGGAGGTCAAAGAACAACTGCTCCATCACGTTGACGAGGGCTGTGTCCTGGAGACGTTGTATGATTTCTTTTAGTTATGTATCCCCCCTCCTATTTTCCCCCGGGCACCGCCCCCCGGATCCGACTCTCCCCCGCACCCGATCCCAACCTCCCCCTGCATTCCATCACCTCCCGGCACATAGCGGGACACGCTAACACCCCGCCCCAACGCGGACACGCCCCGGCCAACCTCCCCCGGCATTCGAAGGGAAGGGGGGGATTATCCAATCCAGATGAAAGCCTCCTTTGTTTTGTTTTTCTGTTTTCTGTGTGGGGGGGGTCGCTGTCTCCTGGAGGCTGCGAGCACCGTCCACGCCGGCGAGGCCGACCCTGGCGATGTAGCACTGCACGCAAGCCAGCCCGGACAGGACGAACAGGGTGCCGAACACGAGCCAAACGCCCCACACGATGACGAGGGCCCGCCGTCCCACGCAGGTCAAGGGCAGCAAGACGTGTCTTTCGAGGTGCAGCGTCGTCGTCGTCGTCGTCGGTCGTACAAATAAAAACAGCATTTCACAAACTCGAGTCGTCGTCGCGCGTCCTCGTCCTCCGCGTCGTCTTAGTCGTCGTTGTCGCGTCGACGTGTCACCAGAGGCACAGGAAACGGCATAGCATGGCGAACGGGCAGCACACACCCATACTGATTGGGGGGCTGACCCGCCCCTCGTGATCTGAGGCTGTGCTATAGGTGTGGGTGCGGGGTGCGGGTTGTCGGGCACCGAGGGGGGCCACCGCTCGACCGGGGACCCCCATCCGACAGCACGCACCCATGGCCCTTCCAGAAGTCCACCCCGACAATTCTGAGGGTCGTATCGGCATGGGTGCTAGTTGTCAGAGCATAACCACGTAAACTGTCAGAGTTCCGCCTGGATGTTTCGGATCTGCGCTGGACCCCCCTAGCGCGCGGAGCGCGCCAGGGGCGGCGCGGGAGGCGCCGCCAGAAGGGTCCAGAGCCAATCCAAGAGATCCGCGCGGACCCCCCCGAAAAAATATGCTTATGGCGAGGGCGCCTGCTTACAGGATGGCTTCTGATGGTGTGTGCATGCTGTACTTTCGGAAGTTCCTAGGCTCATGCTCCCTCTCCCTAAGGGTCCAGCGTCCCGTTGAGGGGGGAAACTTGTCAACTCCCCCTTGGGGCCGATGAGATAAGGCAAAGCCTTTAGAATTTCGAACGCCTCCTCCGACACGAGGCTGCGGTAGTCGTGGACCGAGAACACCAGAGCGAATGGGACGTGCAGCGCTGCCATCCACTTGTAGGTCAGGCGCACGCGGCTGACCAAACGTCCCCAGCCCGGGTCGAGTGCGTGCAAGCCGGTCAGGGCAGAGGCAACGTCGCACCAAGTGGTCGCGAAAGAGCAGATGCCGAAGACGAGACAGATACTGCCGAGGGTCCACAAAGTCTGGTTGCCGTAGTTCACTGTCGTGGAAGCGAGCACGCCGTCAACGAAGCAGCAGAAGGCTGAGGCGGCAACAAGCAGTAGGCTGACTCGTGCGGCCTTGCTTGCGGACCACTGCCTGCGAAGGCAAGGCGTCGCCCACGCCAGGAGCGGCAAAGCGGTCAAAATCCAGATGACCGCGGTGACTCCGAAATATTGGGCAGCATTAAACGCACAATCTGTACCGCGCATGCCGGACTCGCAGTCTCCAACCTGCTCCATGACTGGATGCCTGTGCAACTGCTGGGGGCAAGAAGACCTCGAGCTCAGATTGCCACTTGAGCTGAAACAGCTCCAAGATCAACCCTTGTTCACAGATCAACCAAATCACTCGCTTGCACGGTCGAGCCGCCCGAACGGAACTGCACCCCTGGAGGAGCGCGGTCGCCGATGACTTTCAAAATGGTGGACGATCGGCATCGGTCGATGCAACGCGGAGGCCCATGAACGCGTCGAACGAAGCGTGGCCAGCCAGATGCCCGTGCACTTCCCAGGTGGGGGGCGACATCGCCGGAACGCTGGCCACGATCCCCGCACAGAGGCGGCACCCACTCGCACTCACACAGAATGCACATGCAGAATGCACATGTGATGTTGAAGGCGGCAACGGGGGTCTGAACTGGCTGGGACCCCAGGTGGACGGCACCAAATCTGTTCAACATCGGTCCCCGGACCCCTCCCGGGGTCCATCTGGTACAGTATTGCGCCCGGGATCCGCTTCCGACGGCCAACGCGCCCGAAAACGGCTCCCGGAGGCCGAAGCGGGCAGAAAACCTCCCCGAACCCAGAACCTCGAACACGCCAGCCCTTCCTGCCAGCTTGGCCACCTGAGACCCCAAGACGGCTCCAAATATGATGGCGTTGATGTGAGTATGTGAGTGTATCGAATGTGCATGCATATGCATATGCATGTGAGTTTATAGTTGTATCGTATACGTATACGTCTACGTGTATATAAATATAAAAAACTTGTGATTACATATGTATGTGCATGTGTAACTGCTTATGCACATGTATATGTATATGTATATTCGTACGCATATGCATGTGTAAGTGTATATGTATGAGCATATGTATATGTGTAGGTACACGTACAACTGAATACATGTGTGTATGTATATGTAGGCCTCCAAAAGCACCGTGACCCCAAAGGGGCGGTTCAGGTGCGCGCGACGGCCGTGGAGGCGGAGGTTTCGGAGTGGGTTGGTTCGTGTTTCGGAGACGGAAGCTGATGAGTACTGGGTGTTGTGTTGTAGATGGGGGTGGGGAATAGAAGGTCACTTCCACGTTGAATTTGGGGTGGGAGCATGTTGAGTATTGGGTGTTGCGTTGGCGACGGATGCTGTTGACTACTAGGTGTTAGGTTGCAGACGGAGGGGGTGGCGTAGAACATTATTTAACAATTTAGCTTGGGGAGGGGGCCGTTGAGTAGCGAGAGTTGTGTTGGAGACGGAGGCTGGTTAGTACTGGGCGTTGTGTTGCAGACGGTGCGAGTTGAGTAGAAAGTGATCCTCGAGTTCAGCTTGAGGAGGGAGCCTGTTGAGTATTGGGTGTTGTGTTGGAGACGAAAGCTGGTTAGTAATTGAGTTCGCGTTGTAGGCGGAAGGGGTCGAGCGGAAGGTTATTTTCAAGTTCAGCTTTGGGAGAGAGCCTGTGTAGTAGTGGGGGTTGCGTTAGCGACGGAGGCTGTTGAGTACTGGATGTTGTGTTGTAGATGGAGGGGTATGCGTATAAGGTTATAATCAAGTTCAGCTTTGGGGGGGGAACCTGTGGAGTAGTGGGTGTTGGAGACGGAGGCTGGTTAGTACTTGGTGTTGTGTTGCAGACGGAGGGGGTTGAGTAGAATACTATGTTCATGTTCAGCCTAGGGACGGAGCAAGTTGAGTACTGGGTGTTGTATTGGGCACGGGGGCTGTTGAGTACTGGGTGCTGCGTTGCACACTGAGGGGGTGGAGTAGAAGGTTATGTTCAAGTTCATATTGGGGAGGGAGCCTCAAGAGTAGTGGGTGTTTTGTTGGGGGTGAAGGCTGATTAGTACTGGGTGTCGTGTTGTAACGGGAAGATTTGAGTAGAAGTCCCGCGCTTGAGCAGAACAACCTTGACAAAACAGAGTCTCAACATCGAACTCGAAAATTGTAGGAACCATTGATGGCATCATGTATGTATGCGGCAATGCGCACAGGGTGTTCATGGCGCGTGAGGAGGGCTAGCTGTACATGTTCATGTGCATGTGCATGTGCACGTGCATGTACGCGTAAGCATATAACTACGTACATACATATGTAGGAGTATCTGTATGTATATGGGTATCGGCTTATATACATATATACATGTTCGTGCAGCATATACCTACGCACACAAAACACACACATGTGTAGGTGTGTGCGTGTGCATGAGCATATATATACATATATATGCACATAGTGTATGAATGTGTCTACCCACGTGCTATGTATATGTATAAATTCCAGGCAGATGTTTAGATTATGCGTACACACATCTATAGACACATATACATATGTATGTGGCGCTCAGGCTGGGGCCTCGCCATCGAGGGAGCAAGAAGTTCACATCTCTTCCTTGGCAGACCGCGGTGGAAGGCCAGCGGCAGAAGAACGAGGGCGGCTCTGGCGGCGGAGGCCTGCGGGGTGCTGGCGAACGCAAGATACGCCCCCAGGAGGTGGCAGATTCGGACCCAAGGTTCCCAGAACGATGCGAGAACGGCGCGCACGCACCGCACTCCAAACTTTGTAATAAAAGGGAAGGGGCCAAAATCCTCCAAGATGATTAGTTTTAGACCCCCCTCAACAACCACTAAATGGCGGCCTTTTGCCGAGACCCCCCAAAACCGTGCAAGACAGCTCAAACCAGCCCCAACCCAAAATCAGACTTCCCCCACTTTATTACGGAATACAAAATACCATGTCTGGACCCGCTCTGAGCCCCACTCCGACGAGGTGCGATGCATAGTTTCTCGTCTCTGAGCGCCTGACAAATGTGTACGGGACCACTCCTGACTCGAAGATCGACGACGACTCGAGAGATGCCAACGCGGTGCGGTGGTACGGTGCACACATGTCGCCGCGCAGAACGAGCCATGTGTGCATATCAGAAATGTACACGCAGCAGCGGGCACTGCGTAGGTCGCCTCAAGATGTCCGACACCCCGCCCCAGGACCCGCACCTCCTCCCTGCGCCGCTCTCCGCAGAACGGCGGGGGAGACGCGGGTGGGGGCGAGGACACGAGCCTCTGGGGGGGGGGGCAAGGGCAACGAAGCGAGCACCCGTCGCGCTTTCTCTTTCACGAGGTGGGATCTCCGGGACTTGGAGCAAGGACAACGAAGAGATCGCCGATGAGGTCCTGGGGCAGCACCGCATCGCCAATACATCGCCGATGCATCGGCGATGTCGGCGACGCATTGGCGCCGTCGGCAAAGCCGATGTATCGGCGACACGGCGCGATTTGCCGACTTTATTTGCTCGGGACACCATGTGGGAGGCCTGGAGGGTTGGGGGCGAGAAATCGCCTGCGACTCTTCGCTACGCCCGCGTGTCGAGAAGCAGCAACAATACGAGGGCGTTTCGCAGCTCTCGGCCTCCACGGTCCATCGGGGTCCCTCGCCGGGCCGTGGGGGCCGTCAGTGGCTCGGGATGAAGAGCCGGCCCTGGGGTAAGGGAATCTGGGGGCGCACATGGCGCTCTTACCCACAGGCCATCAGATCTCTGGTCCTTCGCGACGCCCAGCAGGTGTGGAAACGCCCGCACCAAGATCGACTCCCGGACCCGTCCCAAAGCGCACTCTAAACACGATCTCCGGGGGAATTCAGCCCTGGCGACGAGGGCCCCAAAGGAGGCCTCAGCAGGGCAACCTTACCTAGAAATCTACCGTCCTCCTCCTCCTCCTCCTCCCTGGCTAGCCTTCGGGGCGCAACTCGGGCCCCGAGCGGCCGTTTGGGACCGTCCTGGCCTCCCCATAATACGTCCCCCCTTCTTACTCCCTACTCGCATCATGTTCCTCCTCCTCCTCCTCCTCCTCCTCCTCCTCCTTCTGTCGTCCTCATCATCCTTCCCATCCTTCTCGTCGTGCCGCTCAGCCCCCCCAACCATTCCTCCGCCTCATAAGCGCATTCCTCCCCCGCCGTGTCCATCCTTTTCTCCTCGCCACATCTTCTTCTTCCTCCTCTGCACCCTCCTCCTCTATATCCTCCTCCTTCTCCTGCTCCCTCCTCCTCCTCATCGTAATCAATCATGCTAGAATCATCCTGTGGTGCTGGGTCTTCGTTTTGAAGGGACAGCGCCCCGCATCCTCACTCCTCTCGTCCTCCCCCCTCCCTCCTCCCTTTCCTGCCCATCCCTCCTCCCTTCCCTGTCTATTCCCTCCGCATGTATTGTTTCGGCGCACCCCTCACGCGCTTCGTGGCCCCATATGGGCTTGCTTTCAAGGCCCAAGAGGTGCCGTTCGCGGGCGTACCCGCCACCACTTTCGGCACAGTCATACGTTTCGTGACCCCATGAAATGGGGCTTCACCCAAGGCCGCAATGGTGCCTTTCGCATGTGTCCCCGCCACCCATGTTGGCACACCCCTCACACGCTTTGGGGAGCTCCAACAAGGGCCAAAATGCTGCCGTTCGCATGCGGCTTCGCTGCCCCATCTGGAGCTCCATCTGAGGCAGCAATAGTGCTGCCGTTCGCATACGTTCCCGCCACCACTTCCTGCACACCCCCAACACATTTCGTGGCTCCGTAGGGAGTTGCTCTGAAGGCCTGAATGGTGCCGTTCGCGTGCGTCCCCGCCACCCACTTAGAACCCCCTACGCGTTTCGTGGCCCCATGAGGAGGCCCACGCAAAGCCGCAACGGTGCAGTTCGCATGCATCTCCCACTGCGGCACACAGGTTTCGTGGCCCCATAGCGAGCTCCACCGAAAGCGGTGCCAAGAACGAGAGGTATTCACGACTGCATCTGGTAAGGTCCCTCGCCAGGGTAAATCCGCATCTTTCTCCTCCTCCTCCTCCTCCTCCTCCTCCTCGTCCTCCTCCTCCCATTCCTCCCCTCCTACTACTCCTCAGCCCCCCGCCTCCTCATCCTTCTCACCCTGTTCCCTTTCTCCTCCCTTCCCTTCCTCCTCCTCCATCTCCTGCTCCTCCTCTTGCTCCTCCTCCTCCTCCTGGGCCTCCTCCTCCTCGTCCTCCTCGTCCTCCTTCTCCTCCTCCTCCTCCTCTTCCTCCTCAC